ATAAGGAAATTTCGCTGACAGAGGTCTCTAAAACATCTTCTTTCCATAGCAAAGGCTTGGAGAAAAATGCTTTTGGTAGAGTTAATTCACCAACACCTTCACCAGCCAGCAGAAACCTGTCAGTACAACATAATACGAGAGCTCAATCGCTGTCTTCTTCCATGAAAGACAACACTGTAAAGATGATTCTGCCTAGAACAGGCAGCACCAAGCAAAGCCAAATATCTCTTGAAAGTGACAGAAGTGAAATAAAATCATTAGATGAATTGTTTTCGAAAGCAGCTGATGCAGAAGATTCAACCAGCAGCAGCTCAGATGGTGAGTGTTCTGAAACGTTGTCTCAGTAGACTTGGCATAAATTGTACTAACAAACACGGGCAAGTGCTCATTTTGAAAGGATTCCGTAGAGTGAATTTACATAAACCAAGGCTTTATCAAAGGATTTATGTTGATTATGTTGATCTGTTTCTTTTTTGTAGTGTAATATATTTGTATTTTTCTTGGCTTTTGACTTAATGCGTTCAGTTTAATGATGCTTCCCTGGGTGACACTTAATTATGACAGCAAAACAATGACAACATCTAGAAGAGTTTTCATGTATCAGCGGGACAATGTACTTACTTACTAATGGGTCTGAGCAAGAACAAGTGTGAGTGGGGGGTGTGAAGAATGTCTTGAGTGTGGGTTAGCTGATGCACCGACAGGCAGAGGAGGAAACTTCAACAAGAGCTGCTGCTAAGTTAACGGTGTAGAGTCGTTGCTATTACTTTTTAGTCTTATACTTTAAACGAGGAATGTAGTACTGATTTATTTTTCCCTGCTTTTCTCGCTTAAGGGAAAGTGTACTGTAATTTTCATGCAAATTCTCCTGACAATTTGCCATTTGATTGCAGACTTCAGACTGAATATCCTGAGCCTTGATGATTTGGCACCAAATATCACCAGTGAAGCAGCAGAATTAAAGCCAAAGGTAAGCAGAAATTCCCTGCTAGCAAATATTTCCATTCTGCCTTTGTTTGGGGGAGGGTAGATATTCTAAAATAGATACTTCTGTTCTACTCACAGGCGGTCTGAGGTGGGCACATCTCACTAGCTCTAAGGGTTAGATCAGGATTTTACCTGAAACAAATCAAATTCTTTTTTTTTAGCATCTCCATTACCTTACTGAATGTAACAGCACTGCACAGTTTGCAAGGTGACACAGAAGAGCAACATTTTTATTTCCTAATAAAGTAGTAGCTTACTCGCAGTGGTACGCAGCAGGACGGATGAAGAATAACAGGGGCATATTCTAGGCTATACGTTGTTGGTTCTCCTAACATCAGCCGGTTTGTTTTACAGGGGACAGACATTCAAATCTCTCAAGAATCAAGCAGAAATCCAGAAAAAGATACGTTTCTGCTGGAAAAGGACCAAGCATCCCTTAAAATGCCGAGCGCAGCACCTGGTGTGAATGATGCTTCTGAAGGGGCTCTTGAAAAAACTGTGACTGAAGCTGAAATCTCTGAGCATTTAAGTGGCGTTTCTGCAGATTCCCCTAGACACAAATGCGATTATCTTGAGCACGATGAGACAACTGTGAATTCAGAATATTCTGAAGACTTTGAAAGTTCTCTGTCTACAACAGACAGGGAATCTGTATCGAAAACGTCAGAGGAACATTCCAAGAGCTGCATGTATTCTGGAAAACACCGATCTTCACAGTCATCACCTTTATTTACCAGGGAGCGGCACGGTCAGGTACACAAAGTAACCGTGAAAGAAACTGCGGTTCAGACAGCGGATCCTCCGTTCACCTATTGCTGGTCAAAGAGTAAGTTCATGAAATACAGCCCTATTTGGGTGATTTTGAAGTGTTTATATTTTATTTGCTGGCTTACTCAGCCTTGATGGAGTTCTTAGTTTCAGGACTAGCTTCCCCTAGCTGATCTGGAATTAAAAACTTTCTAAAGCCCAACTCTTTAATCTGTGATCTCTAGAAAAGATTGGGCTTGGACAACAGAGTAAGAACTTAGAAATGGTTTTCTGCTAAAAAAAAAAACCAACAGGAACTTTGAATAGATGAGCTGGTGTTTGCGATGGAGCTTGCAATAGCCTGAGTAATATTCTCGAATGGAATTCAACATCTTTATTGTACCTTTACTATTGTATTGTTATTGAAGTGATTGCCCATCATAAAATTCTTTTTTGCATTGTCCTTCTCAGGAAAGCACTATGGCCCCATTTATAAAAGACAGACGTAACCTTTAACTGTTTCTGAGGGGTCGCTCCTTTGCTACCTCGCTTTACTTAAAGGAAAAAGTGGCAAGAGCCACTTCTTGCCCCACTCAAGGAAGAGAAAATAGAAACTCGTGTGTGCTTGAAAACAGTAGCTTCCTTCAAGTACAAAAGCCTTTATTTTTACTCTCTCTAGGGTTAGAAAAGATGCCTTCCACCCCAGCACGCGTTGTGAACATAAGAGTTAGAGAAACCATGGAGGTCATAGAATTATTTTAGCGTTATTTTTGGCTGACAATTCCCCATTAGGCTCTACAGCTGTTCTACGGCAACTGACGTCCCAAGAGACTGCTGAAGGTGAACCGCGCTGTAGCGCTCAACCTCTCCACCCCCCCAATCCCAGTAATTCTGATTTTATCCTATATGCAGCAGACGCCTCTGCAGTACTTGCCCCACCTGTAGGAAACAGCTACATTGATCCAGCACCTATTGCCAGTCACGTCATCAGCATGGATGCAGTCGAAGGTAACTGAAAAACATGTTTCTTGCTACTGTTTTACTATAGTTTATGGAACCAACCCCTGCTTGGATTGTTCAGCCCTTACCCTCTGACAGTTATGCATCACTGAAGTATATACCCCCCCCTTTTTTGCAGCCTTGACAGCATACAGCCCATCGGTTCTCGTTTTAAACACCATGTTGAAACAGCACTTGATGTTGACTCAGCAGTTTGTAGAGAACGCTCACCGCCTTCACTTCGCCCTTGTGGAGTCATTAGAGAACGAGCAGTTCCACTACCACACCCTGGAAGAGGCTAAAGAGGTATCTATGGCAGAGCAGGCAGCAGCCTGGGTGGAGTAAGCGTGTATTCCTTTCCAACTGCTTCTAGCATTTGCAACAAATGGATTTTCTTTGCGTATTATTCATTAATCAGATAAAAATATTATCACTGAATAGATTACTTCATAGAAGAATACAGTGCTCCTTGTGCCCATATTAATAACCAGGTCAGGAGTTTATACAGTAAAAAAAAAAAACCAAAAAAACCCCTGAAGCCTTAGTGGAGGCCTTAGTTTTAAAAGAATGAGCTTTCTGCTGCAGCATTTAGCTGTCCTCAAACGAGCAAGGCAATGCTGCAACAGAAGTATGGGTTTCTGTTGCTAGTATAGGAAAGTGCAGGTACCTTGACATGAAGATTTATTATTAAATACTAGAAAGTCTTTATCTACATAATAAAGAAATTTGTATATTGATTTTTTCTTTTTGCAGTACATCAAGAGTCACAAATCGCCACCTCTAACACTTGAGCAAGCACGTGAAGAAATTCGGAAAGCACAGGAGGAAAAACTGCTTTGACTCTTTAAGTAAAATTTACATTTACAGATCTCCAGCTGCAACAAGAAACCCTTCCAAACTGCACAGATAAAAAGTTATCAACTAGGTAGCGGAAGGGTTTGTACTGACGGCTATGTATCTTATTATACATAATTTATTTTCCTATATCTGATTTTTTTACTAATGTACGGGATACAGGGATAGGCAGGACCCTTCAGCCAGACTATGACAGCGCTTGGCAAAAAGGAAACCAAGGAAGCACCTCTCTCTCTGCAGGTAGCGTGGTAAGTCATCGCAGTATGCGCGCTTACCGTGCGGGTCGTGTGATCTGCGATCACAATAGAAGTGAAAGTCTGTACTACAGCGCCCGAGGAATATGATCACAGTAGAAAAATACCATTCCTGACATTAGTGCCTTATTTAAACTGTTTGTATAGAACGAGCCTTGTCAGATTACTGCAAAACCAAACATGCAAAGTTAGGATAAATTCAATACAAGGAGGGCGTAAGGCCAACGTACTGGAATCCATTTACTCTGAAATAGGAGCCACCATTTTATTTTTATTAAAAAAAAAAAAGTGTTTATTGGAAGGCAAAACAATAAAATTCACAAGTTGGTAACATACAGGTGTTGTATGCTGCTTCACAGACAGTTACAGTTCCACAACTACAGTAGATCTAGAACAAACTGATAGTTTCACCATATTAACTGAACGGTTTCAAGAGGGTTTCTGCTATACAAACAAATGACTCCGAAGGAGGCTACCGCCACGCAGCCCCCTGGTGTGGAAGTGCAGTGTAAGGGCCTCACACCTTTAGCTGGTGGTCTCTGGAAACAGTTATAAAAGGCTTTTTTTTTTTTTTTTTCCTCATTTCGATTAAAGGAAGCTTCCAAGAACGTTTCGTTGTTAGAAACTTGCAGAGCAGAGAAAATGGATTCTCCTCTATTCAACTAATCAGCTTTTATTAAAGAGTATATACAAAAATATAAAAAGCTTAAAGAATGTCTTCCATTACAAAGCATTGAACATCCCTCAGAGCGCTCGAACAGCTACAACAGTTAACCCTCGTGTTCTGACCAGAGTTGGGACTGCAGCAGCTGGTGTGTAGGGGCGTTAAGTTGTAGGGTAGGTTCTAACAAGCTTGCACAGTGCTCATAGGTCACCTGTACTGGAACTAGATGCTTCATTCCCCATTTAGACATTAGGATACACTGCTCAGCATCAGTCTGACTTGATCCCAAGGCAGCACCCCTCCACTTCAAATAGAATTAACCTTTTGAGAGAAATAAACATACATTATGGAACTAGAGAACACATAACCGTATCAGATAACGTCTGTATGCCACAGGAATGAGTGAATCACAATCCTGCACCGGGGGTAGCTTGGCTGGGGTTTAATTCAAGTATAAAATGGGTAACTAATTAAAAAATTTTGCAAAATAAATGGAAATTCTTAAACTTGCTAGACATGTCATAGTTACGACTGGCCTTTTTTAAACACTAAACGACAAGGGTTGAAGTACATGTCATAGCTTTCCATTTTTCACCATAGTTTTAAAAGTAACTTATTTGTCACTTCCTCCAGACTTTAATCCGGATTTATACAAGTTTAATGTTTTGTAGAAGATGCAAGACATCTTTCTTCAGAGAGTCTTATTCGGGTGGTGGAGGGTCTTGCGTTTCACGCTTCACTGAAACAATAGGGAAAAGAGTTCTTACACATTCTGCAGTTACCTAAGCTGTCTGAGATGTTTCATGGAATGAGGGCTTTATTATTAAGGAATTGTTCCTTCTGGGCTTTATCTGAACCCATTTTATTACACAGATCTACTGCAGCCATAGGCAGAAGTGACTTTTAATTTAGCACGCCAATTTTTTTTCCTTTTAGTCACGGGCAAGTGTAGTTCTATGGAACAGACTCTCTGCAAAAATCCATCGTTTGGGTAATTGTCTCTTAGGAAGCGCCTCCACTTTTTCTGAGCCCTTCCTGCACTACCGTGGATTTATTTCCCATTCTGGCTTTAGCAGAACACAGCGCTGACTGTAGGAAACTCAGAGTTGGGCAGGACTACTCAGTAAGCGTGGTCTAACTTCACGCCAAGCACAAAGACCCTCCTGCTCTGGCAACCACCGCTCCTGCGGCACGGCTCCCTCCACTACCTGGGGATTGCTCCTGGTTTTTGAAGGGTAACGTTCAGAGATGGAGCCAGGAAGTGGCTTACACAGAACAGGCTAATTAATTAATGCTTCAGACATCAACACAACTCCTAAAAAGGAAAAGATGCTGGGTTAATCAGAGTCTACTTACCTGTTTTACCATTTTATTCGAAAGAATTAAGTTACTAGGCCTTTGATTAGCGTTTACAGCCTACAATAACTAGGACAAAAATCACTATCGAGTCTGCACGGTATTTTAAAATGCTTAGAAACATTCACTTACATTCGTCTCTGGCCTTCATGCGTGCGATGAACGAGTAACTTTTATTTCTTCGGTAGTTTTCATAAGGGTCATCTAATGCGACTCCCACTCCTTTGTATTGATCCCATTTGTCTCGGATGTCCCCTCCTTTAATCGGATCCTGAATTCCTTGTTCCTTGGCTCCCAATCCACCAGATCCACTCCATCCTACAAAAAGGACACAACATTGTAATCTGGTAACTATCATTTTACTACCAGAACTCTGAATTCAGACAGACAAACAGACATTTTGGAAACAACCCAAGAAAGTGCCAGTTGGATATAGCAGGAGAGTAAGAGCCTGAAACAACAGATGAACTGTCTCACTTACTTAAAAAGCATGACTATCAATAACAGTTAATTAATATAAATATTAATAAAGATATTCTGGGAGCTGACAAACATCAGCACTATCCCTAAAAATCATCACGGGGGCAAGGGGAAAGACAGCGCGAGCCCAGTCTGTCCAGTCAGCCACGCTGATCTACACCACGGGGAGGTGAAATACCGTCTGTTCAACGCCAGAGTCGCCCCCCATCTTCCGTATCCTTCCCAGAACAGCAACTACCTCCACTGCTCCGCATTCTCCATGCTTACATCCCTGAGTAGCCTTATGCTGACCTTGGAATACCAAGGGATAATTACTTATGAACAGGCATTAATTAATTATCTTATCCAAGAGTTTGGTGCCTGGTTTTGTTTCCTGGCTCGTGCAAGATTCCAGAACAGCATCTCACCCATTTTCACCAGCATTTGATGGCCTTTATTTTCTTCTCCAAGTCTTGATTCTGGTATAGGAGGCCCAGAACTGGAGCCCAAACCAGCAGAAGAACTAAGGGAATAAAGAGAACAAATGAAGAACAAGTGATCCTGTTCTGATGCAAAGCAAGGTCATTTACATTCTGTTAAACATTAACACCCAACATAATCCCATCCTCTCTACTAAGCTAATATTTTATAAATCTGTTGGGTTATGGAGT